CGAGTCCTAGTAAAACAATTTTTGCATGTCAAAGAAATCTCCAGCATAGCTAAAGAAAACCCAGATAGTGGGAAAAAAATCTTAGTGAACGGTCCCTCAGACAAAGGACTTCTATTTCGAAGAGATAAAAAATTATTTAAAAAATTCAGATCTCCAAAATTCAAAGACCCATTCCAAAAATGGGCATCACAGTTCTCAGATGAAGAAATACAAATAGCAAATAAATACATGAAAAAATGTTCAGCATCATTGGTCATTAGAAAAATGCAAATTAAAATAGCACTGAGATTCCATCTCACTCCAGAAAGAATGGCCAGGATCAAGAAAACTACCAATAACAAGGCTGGGAAAAAGGAACTCTTCTGCCCTGTTGGTGGGAGTGTAGACTAGTACAACCACTATGGAGGTTAGTCTGGAGATTACTCAAAAAGCTGAGATTGGAGGTCCCATTTGACCAAGCTATCCTACTTCTGGGCATATTCCCAGAAGAACTGAAAACATCATACCGCAGTGATATATGTGCACCCAGGTTTATAGCAGCACAATTTGTAATAGCCAGATCTTGGAATAACCTAAATACCCATCAACTGAGGAATGAATTTTTTTAAAACTTTTTATCGGTACCAGGGATCGAACTCATGACCACCTGCTTCCAAGGGAGGTGCCATGCCACTGAGCTAAATCCCCAGCCCCTTGAGGAATGAATTTTTAAAATGTGGTATTTTTAACAATCTGCTATAAAGAATGATCACATTGAGATATTTATAAGTAAATGGATGCAGCTCAAGACCATCCTTGTAAAATAATCAAATTCACATGTGCAAATACTGTATAGCATCCCTAGTATAAGAAATGGCAAGAGTACATAAGATACAAAAAACTCAATAATTACATGAAAAGATAAGCATTTGCTTAAAGGGGAAAAAATAATATCTCAGGGAAAATGAGGAAAAAGAAAAAGGGAGGGAAAAGAAAAATGTCTAAAATTATATAAACACACAGGACAGCTAAGATGATTGTGCTATAGACTCTAAGATCTTGAAACAAAATAGTTAACATTTATAGGATTGGAACAATTGTGCTTATTATTGTATAGCGATCTGAGGAACTCTTGAAGATTATTATGTAAAATAACAACCATAGTTATGCTCATACCACCTTGTTTTGAAGGCCTGTATTGTCAGTGTTCTGGGCTCTTTGCTATTGTTGTTCATATGCCTCATTCATCTCAATGTTTTTCTAGGAATTTATTGTGTTTTGTCTTCATTGGTTGTTTTTCCCTCTAATACAGAAAGGATAGGTATACATGCAGAGACTCATGCACACGTAGAACTTCTAAAAAGTATGAGGATCAATAATATAATGTACAATGAAATGAACAGCTACTCTAAAGTAAAGACACTAAGGTACTCAGTGCTGATTCCATAGGGTCACGATGTGAAATCCAGCTATACTATTATTCTTTGTTCACAGTGAGTTTAGTCTGTTTTGTTTAATTTCAATCTACATGAAAATATGAACAACTAGTTTGAAGAGAATGAGACACATTATGGTAGCCATTGTTGACTTCCTCATTGTCTGGTCTTTTTTTTTTGGTCTTTTTCGTTTTTATTGGTACCAGGGATCGAACTCACGACTGCCTGCTTGCAAGGCAGGCGCTTATGCCGCTGAGCTAAATCCCCAGACCCTCAAATAAAAAAAATTTTTTTTTGGTCTGTTTCGTTTTTATCAGTACCAGGGATTGAACTCACAACCGCACACTTCCAAGAAAGGCGCTTATGCCGCTGAGCTAAATCCCCAGACCCTCAAATAAAAAAAATTTTTTTTTTGGTCTGTTTCGTTTTTATCAGTACCAGGGATTGAACTCACAACCGCACACTTCCAAGAAAGGCGCTTATGCCGCTGAGCTAAATCCCCAGACCCTCAAATAAAATTTTTAAAAAATGAGTTATGTTGATATATAAAACTTGAAGAAAAAAAATGTTGCCAAATTCCTAACAGTTTCAGTATAACTGAAAAGTCTAAATACAAAGTCTCCTTTGAGATTTAAGGCAAACTCCACTCTGAGGCCCTGTACAAATGAAAGCTAAACATTCCCAATGTACAGCGGTACAAGATAAACATTTCTACTCTAAAAGGCAGAAAAAGAGGGGGAAAGAAAGGAACAGGACCAACCAAGACTAAAACTCAGCAAGCAAACATTCAATCCCATAGTCCTATGTCCAAGACAGGGGCAATCAGTGGCGAGATGTGAACCCAGGGCCTTGGGCCCTGCTATTAGTGCACCTCAAGCTCTTCTCTTGAGCCAGCTTTGTGTACTTCTTGTAGCTCTCCTGAGACATTCCACCTTCCTGGCTTTTCCAGTGATCCTGGGGTCTTCCCTGCACTTCCACTTCCACACTCACAGCTTCACACACTGTCCTCTCAGGGGCACATGGCCTGGCTGCCAGGCCTTCTGAAATCTAGGCGGAAGCCTCCTTGATCGCACTAAAACCAACACCGCATGGACGACACCATCGGACGCCAACAGGACCAGCAGCGGAGGGCGTCTGCATCTCGCTGGTAGTGGCAGAGGCCTCTGAGTGCCTAGATGCCTCAGCAGAGTGAACTGAATCCTGGTGAATCAAATCTCATTCCCTAGGCTGCAGTCACCTGAAACATGGGACCCTGAAGTGCTCTTCTCAAAGCCAGGTCTTTGGTTCTTGTAATTTTGAGCCTGCAAAAGGGTGTGAAGCCTTCAGGCCATCTTTTCTATTGTTCTGTTCCAAAGCAATACTTACCTGTTTAATGCTAATCTTTTCAGCAACCAGGTTCTCCTCTGCTTCAGGTTTGCAGGTCCCAACTTTATCAGAGCTTCCTTTTTGGCCAAACTCAAAACTTTGTAAATCATTCTGCTGGGCTGTTTGCTCTTGATTCTCAAAGCTGGCTGAAAGCCCCAGCAGTAGCCATGCCACCTCAACATTCAAGTGCCTGTAAATTTTTGCTACCTCTGCCCTTCATTTCAGTTTCCTGCAAAGTCTCTAGACATGAACAAATACAAATTTTCAGCCTGACCACAACACATATGATTTGGAGTCCAAATGCCAATGCAGTCCTTCTAATACAGGCGGCACAATGGGGGTTGGCAGACCATTCCCCCACACTCACTTGAGTGGGGCCACATCCCGGGGCCAATTCTCCTTCCACTATTCTAACATAGGTAGAAAATAAAGTAACAAAAACTCAGAAAATCACTGAAGTTCCTTCCAGCCAGAACACATGAATATTAGATCTCCTGGCCTGACCTTCACTAACCTCCCACCCAAACCTTATAAAAGGTTCATAAATATATGGACATCTCATACATATAATTAAATCAGCATGAGTTCTGGGACACACAGGCTTATTGAAAGACTCTGAAATGACTCAGCACTGTCAATTCTTCTTGCCAATCTCACCTAAAGACCCAATAAAAAGCACCCAGACTAGAGTGTACTTCCTTTAAAACCCAAATGCCTGATTTATGTGTGCTCTGCTTTTTATTTTCCTATCATTCCAGCACCACTTTTCTGTTCCTAACATGTTTTTATCAGCACAGACCTGCCATAAGTACATCTTCTCATGGTCTTCAATAAACGTAGCTGCTTTTACCATTAGATGTGTATTGCAATTCACTGCTCATCTACACAAGAGTCTGGAATCTAGGGATCCACCCTATAATATCATTTCTTTTTTTTTTTCCCTACCAGAGTCAATATGGAGATAGTAACATTTCTTTCCAACAGAAATCCAAGCTCCATCTTTACCAGCATTATTCGCAGCATTCTATCTTCTAAGCTCATCCAACCAGAATCTCCCATCAAGCTGGGGTCACAGAAGTCTAAGCTGGTATCTCCAAATCTTTCCAAACTCTTCCTATAAGGCGTTTCCAAAGGCTTGTGAACTATGTGGTCAAGTACTATCACAGCAACAACCCCACTGTAAGCTACCCAAAACTGCCTTAGTTATTTTTTCTCATTGCTAGAACAAAAACCCTGATACCCGCAAGTTAAAGAAGAGGTTTATTTTAGTTCTCAGTTGACAGAAGTTTTAATTCAGAGTCAGCTTGCTCCAAGGCAGCCAGCATGGCAGTACAGGCACCACTGTGGCACCACTTCAGGAAGCAGAGCAGTATCAAGGGAGAAAGATAGGAGATACCACTTTTCAGGCCACAGCCTCAGTGAGCCACCTCCTCCCAACTTCACAGTTAGCTATCAACTCTTCAGCTGACTACTCCACTGTACAGATCACAAACATACGATCCAATCAATTCCCAAAGCTCCACACATGAGGCTCTAAGTTGTAGATATAAACTGTAACAGACTGAATGCAGTATTTAAGATATCATGATAAATTAAAAAAACAATTGAGTCCTTTTACTCTACAGCAAAGATGTTCTCATCTAGTTAACAATCTTTATTCAAACTGTCTCACATACGGAAGAAAAGCAGTAATTTAGCAACAGGAAATAGAAACACTTGATCAAATCTAAATTGCCACCTTTTAGATACTCTCATGTAGTAAGAATAAGCAGCACTGGTCACTGTGTTCTCTCTTCTTGTCTCTCGCGATAGGGGTGTACTTCTTGTCTCACTCTTACTCTGTTCTGCCCAAACTGATCTGCAGAGCCTCTTTCTTTTCCTACCTTTGATAAAACTTTGGAAGAAAAAAAAAGAATAAGCAGTACCAACTAAACTATAACACATGATATATACATCTGATTTCAGAGATGCTACAATATGAAAAGCATGCATCTTGGAACTGATGAAATATAAAACTCCAGACACCATCTAGTGGCAAATCAGTATAAATTCCAAAGCTTGCAATCTTTTCAGAGAGACAAATTTCATCATCTGACTTTAATATTAAATAATCGTTTCACTAAAAAACTGACTGGAAAAAAAAGCACATTTTCATTCAATGACATCATGGCAGTTATATGGATTTTCTTCTAGACAGTAAACCAAGACAGTAACACTTACTCTGTTTCCTGATGCAGTGTCCTCTACTTTTGCAACAGGGATGGACCCCCTATCTTCTCCAGGAGCTACTGTGGCAGTTCCTTCTCCATCAATCATTTCTTTTGTCTCTTTATCCTTATTCAGTACAGTCCCAGCTGCTACCTCTTCTGCGGGTTCCTGATGCTCTGCCTTCTTTTTCTCCCAGGTCGCCTCTGTTCCTCTAACCATCTCTTCTTGCCTGTGTTCCTCAACAGATGTCTGTCCTAGTTCAGCACACGTGTCCTCTGAAATACACTTTCTAAGGTCAGTCACAGGGTCCTGTTGTTTTTCTGACGACTCAGAGTCTGGTGTCAGTTCTCTTGCCCTTTGAGCCCTGTTGGGATACTCAGCTGCCACTTCAATATGATCTCTGCTGCATTTTGGAGTAGAGAAGCTCATTCCCGAAGTACCAGGTGCTTCTTCACTGTCGTCGTCTGAACTCTCGGAGCTAGACTCCTTGGCAGTTTCCAGTCCTTCCATGCTCAACCTGTCAGAAACAATGCAAAGACTGGACATCATTGATAGCTTCTACAAAAGGTCTAAAATCAATGACCTGTGCCAGATATGGTAGTGCAAGCCTGTTATCCCACACTAGGGAGGCTGAGGCAGGATCATTGTGAGTTCAAGGCAAGCTTGGGCTACGAAATCAGTTCAAGGCCAGCCTAAACTGCACAATGATTTCTATACCACACAAGGACAAGGAAAAAAAAATCTGTGACCTGGTATGGTATGAGGAGGCTGAAACAGGAAGCCTAAAAGTTCAAGCCCAGCTTGACCAACTACCCAGCTGCTACCTTTTCCGTGGGTTCTTGCCTTCTTTCTCTCCCAGGTCACCTGAGCGGATGTCTCTCAGAGTTCAACATGAGTCTCCTGAAATACCCTTCCTAGGGTCAGTCACAGTCACAGGGCTGTTGATTTTCTGACTCTGTTGTTTAGTGACTTACTGTTATGCTTTGTGTCTGGATGTCCAGCTAGCGTCTCACACTGTCATGGTGGGCATTTTCTGAGGCAGCTAAATCTAGACTTTGCAACTGGTTCATCATCTAGTGCTGAGATTGGGTTTGTGAGTGTATAATATACCTGCCCTAAAGCAGGTAACCTCCATATAAAAAGAGGCTTGCTCTTGTTGCTTTTGGTATCTTCCACCAACATGAACTGTTGCCTCTGTGCCACACCACTCCCTGCCTTGGAGCAAGCTGATGATGAACTGAAACCTCCACAAACTGTGAGCTAAATAAACATTTCCTCTTTAATTTCAGGTGTCAGGTATTTTGTCTCAGCAACCCAAGTGCTGACAAGGTCTGGATCACTCCCGTGCTTTCACTTTCCTCCTCACAATTCTCTGGCTGACACTTCTTGCTTAGACAGCCCTCCTCCCGACCCCTCTCCAGTGGACCCCCTGCTTCCTGAACCCTCTTAATGACCCTGCTCCGGCTGACCCCCCCCATCCCTCAACGCTCCGCCTGACTGCTCTTGCTTGACCCCTGCTTCCCCTATCATCCTTCTGAAGCCTCTCAGGCTGACCTCCCTGCTTCCCCTCACTCCTGACCACCTCCGGGTGAGCCCCTACTGCCACATCCCTCCTTCTGACTCCTATGCGGACACTTCCCACTGTCACCAGCCTGTGCCGCCCAGCTTTCCTGGGCTGCCCCGTCGCTGTGTGCGCTGGCGGCCTTTCTCCTCTGCTCACGGGGTGCGCCGGGGCCTTCCCGATCTACCAGCGTGCGACGGTGAACCCCGCCTTCACCACAGTGTGTCTGCCGTCCCCTTCTCGCCTTCTCACCGCTTTGCAGCGGTGGAGTTCAGCCTCGCACTGGCAGGTGCCGGTGACTGACCCTCTCACCATCGTGGGCCGGTGGCCTTCCCACTCTCACCGGCGTGCACCAGGCCTTGGCCGGGTCAGCGGTGTGCACCTCCGGGCTCCCCCTCTCACCAGCCTGCGCTGCGGTTACCGATAAGCAGGGCAAGATGAGAGCTAGAAATACCTGTGTGACATCGCTGAAACAGTCAACCAATTCTGAAGCGTGCTCAAATGTAGGATTGCTGTGATACGAAATAACGAATGACCTGATTTTCTAAATCAGCTTGTGATAGACATGTTATTTTCTACCAAATAATCTTGATAACATTATCATTCATTCTTAACGTTATTAAACACCTGGTATAACTTATTAAAATGGAAAACTAAACCACACAAAATGAAAGTATAATAGTCATGCAAAGAAATTTATCACTCTTCTAGTTAAAACTGAAATAATCATGTTTATGACTGATATAGCTAAACACAATGAAATAGGGAAGAGCTAACAAAATGAAATAGAAAAATGGAATAGCAATACTAATATTAAGCTTATTAGAATTCAAGATATCATTAATCAGGATCAAAATGCAGAATTTATATATAAATTATTTTAATTACATCATCTAACAGTCATGTGCCTTTATGCATCTAACAACATAGTTTGAAAACATGTAAAGCAACAGACTAATAGAAAACAAGTATATAAATCCACAATCATAATAAAATATTTTTCAAAGCTCCCTCAAACATTGGCAGTTCAATTATCCTTCTGGGTATTTTCCAGAAAAATTGAAAACATCATATCACAGTTACATATGTGCACCCATGTTTATAACAGCACAATTTATAATAGCTAAATCTTGAAAAAAACCCAAATGCCCTTCAGCTGTGGAATGGATAAAAAGTATGTGGTGTTTTTATACAATAGAATACTATTTAGCTATAATGAAGGGTAAACTAGAGGTTTTCATAGGTAAATAGATGCAATTTGAGACCATACTCATAAGTGAAATAAACCAGATATCTTATTGTCTCACTAATGTAAAAAACTAAAAGATTCAAAATGTACAACCGATATTGTGAAAGTGAAATGGACAGAAGTTGCTCAAAAGAACTGGGATGAGGGAAAGGAGAAAAGAAACAAAGGAAAAGATTATATATACATATACATGATAATTACACTACTAATCACTGTTAGCTCACCAAAAAGAATGATTTGTGCTTTCACTGTTTGATCATTTTTTATGGCTATATCTTGTAATGTGAGCAAGTACTTTAAAGATAACCGTGGAATATATATGTGTGTGTGTATTTTGATACCAGGGATAAAACTCACGATCTCGCATTTGCCAGGCAGACAAACACTGACACCGTTGAGCTAAATCCCTGACCTCAATTATGTAATATGTTAACCACTGTTAATCTATTATGTTGTTTTGAAATTCTGTATCATTGTTTTTAATTTTTTTTTAAATTGGCAGTTCAACCAGGAAATGACTCTACATTCTCAAGGAATGGTATAATTATATGTGGTTTGCTGTATTTATGAATTTCCTGTGATGACATGTACTACTTTTATAATCATGAAAAATATATTTTAAAAAATAGGATGGAAAAAAATAGGATGGAGAAATATGTCTCTGATACAAGTGATGCAATTAATTAAAATCATCTCTGGAAGACTGTCTATAAAACTATTTCTTGCAGATGTACTATTTTTATATAACTTTCAGAATGCTGTATACCAGGGCTGGGGATTTAGCTCAGCAGGCATAAGTGCCTGCCTTCCAAGCAGGCAGTCGTGATAAAAACAAAAAAGACAAAAAAAAAAAAAAAAAAAAAAAGAATGCTGTATACCTAGCATGGAGTGAGAGGATTACATATTTAGAAAATTTAAAATACATCTCTTTTGCCTAAAACATGCAGTGGAAAATGAAAAAACAATTTGCAGCTCGTAATGAACAAAAGAAATCATATAAAGGATATGAATAGTAAAAGTTTGAACTTTTGGATGTGTATACTAAATATATGCCCATGTAACCAACTACAAGAAAAGAAACACAAGTCTCAAAAATTAACTATTTACAATGAATGAAAAATTTTAATAAGCCACCAAAGGCAGATATTATCCAGGTAATATTCACTACTAACAAAGAAATTAAAATCCAATTATTTTAAATCTAGCAAAAATAATCTATTCATCATTTGACAACAGTCTTCAAAATTTAAAATACCTCCTTTGTAATTAGAGGAATAAAAAACATTTAAAATGACATTCCAGCTACTTACATATGAACTCAAAAAAGCCTAACTCATCAATCTATAAACTGTATAGACTTAACACATATCTACTGCATTGTAAGCAAAGAGAAATAAGCTTACTGAATATTCAATATTAGCAAACAAAAATACCAAAACAGCTAATATGTCCATCAACATATGAATGGATAGAGTGGTATCCATATACAATGGTGTACTATAATGGAGTACTACTCTGCCATAAAGAGAAATAAATTTGAGGTATTCATAGGTAAGAGGCTGCAACTTGAGAAAATACAAGTGGAATAAGTCAGACTTAACTTAAATATTGTAGTTTCTCTTATATTAGAAACTCAAAAGTAAAGAACAAAAAAGAAGACAGTTAAGTTCAAATGATTCCCTGAATTACCTATTCCATTGCTTCAAATATATTTTTATATGCTAATTTGTTTCATTTATACTAATTTCCCTCAAAGCATTGAAAAGTTTTGTGCTATTGTTTGTTTCTTCTTTTTCCTAAGTCTTGTACTCTTTATAAGTTTTTTTCTAAGTCTTGTGCTCTGAGTAACTACTTTATGGATTATGATATACAGTGTATTAACTATTGTTATTCTTGTATTATATGATGAAATTTTATTTTTTCATAAAATAAAAACATTGAGAACATCAAGATAAACCTAAAGAAACAAGGTATACAGAGCTAAAAGCAATGTGTCCCAACATACAACAAACATGTATAAATACTACATATAATATGAAATAAAATATAAAAATGAAATATATCCTGGTTGGAAGTTGTCTTTTTTTCTTATTGCTGATACCAAAAAAATGAATTATAAAAAATAATTTTATACATAGCTAAACTCATTGGCATAAAGGAAAATAAATCTAAGTGGCAGAACCCAAATGATAAATAGTAGAATAGAGTTGACTTGTAAGTCCAAGAAGAGAAGAGTTATAATATAAATATGGGATGCTGTTTTGAGTATAAAACATGGATACTGCAAGAGTATTTCATTCTAGAAAAGAGAGTTAAAACAATTTCATATACCAAACCAGGGAAATGGGAAAGTTCACTCTTGGTCAAGGGTCTTGGGTAGGCAAAAAACACCTACTTATGAAAAAAGTAAAACCACAGATCTATACTATGGAATGAAGAAAGGAGTCTGCATTTATATTACTTGTTTTTTGGAACTAACAGAAGTCCCCAAGATTTGCCATGCTTCCATGATTCACTAGAAAGACTTATAGGACTTGCCATATATAGCCATTCAACAACTAAAATTTACTAGCTATTCAGTTGTTACAAAACAAGCAATGAGGGGAAGCAAACTCTAGAGAAAATCAGATACAAGCTTGCAAGTCTTCTCCCAGTAGTCACATGGATAATTTGATTCTAGTAAAAATTGTGGCAAAGTTCATAAGAGACCAAGATCCAAATTTTAACAGAAGTTGACTCGGGTTGTCTCTT